CAAAAAGAGAGGAATACCTACTACATCATTGCGAACAGATTTTTTTTGACCAGCTGTCAGAAAAGCCAGATCTGAACATGTCTTTGACTGACATACCTGCAAAATTTATCTAGCTTTATTGAATTTAGGGCTCAAAGGGTTAATTATAAAAACAGACGACTATAATTATATGTGAACAATTACATTTCACAAGAGGTAATCAGCATGTAGAAGTCTTGTACACAAGCAGGACAATGAAGATGTTAGTGTTCAGTTTAGAGAGGTTTCCTGTTTACACTATAGCTGTTGGGTTTGGTTTAGGAAGGTTTTGGTGAATTTTTTATGTATTCTGCATACCTCATTGTATTTCATCGTAAGTGGATCTTGATTAAACATGGTAATGGTAGAAAAGGTATGAAAGATACAAAGATACATATAGCAGTGCTTACTTTTATTTGTAATAATTTCACACACAAAGCCATGTCGGATTGAGCACAGTTCATCATAGAACAGACCATTGCTGGAGAAACCGCAGTCTTCTCCAGTGTTGTTGCTTGGTTCTCCATTTGCCCATTGACTGAGATGCCATGACGTAGGTTTTGAACAATCCACCCATCGCCAATCACCCTCAATACTCCGATCAGAGTATCCTGCAATAAAGTATATTATCACATGACCATACATTGTAGTTCATATTATTCACAAGTGTGACATTTAGCGAAAAATAACACTCCTAATGTGGTATGGTAAACGTCACCATATTATCTTTGAACATCATCCTAATAAACTCAAAATACCAGGGTATGTAACTAACTCACCAGAACCTAATGCATGTACTAACTCTTAACAGTGCTGTCTGGAAGTTTATTGTGTCAGACCTGTGTATAGCAGCCACCTAAAGGACTTCACTAAAATGGTCTTTATAAACAAGTGGTCTTTATATGAAGGTTATTATTGTTAATTATTATTTTTAATGGATCACCAACTCACCAACAGTTGACATAAAAAGATGGTAGTGTTGCAACAAAAACACATTTATCCTGGCTGATCGTAATCAAATTTATTTGATTTGAAAAAATTAAAAATTACTTCATAAATAGAATGTTAGTTATTATTTTGATCTCTAAACTAAGGCGAATCTGCAAAAATATTTCTGAAAGGGTGGTCACTTAAGACAGGTGGTTTTTATACACGTTATGTCTTGGGACTGTCTAACAATGGTCACCATAGGCAGGTGGTCTTTATATAGAGGTGATCACTAACACAGGTTTTGACTGTCCTATGACACAGCTATCAATCTGGAAACTGCACATATGCATCATAACTAATCAGTCTTTTATTCACTGCTCTGCTTTACAAAGTGCAGCTGAAATTTGTACATACCAATCCAGACTACCGCTGATTCTCCCACCATTGACAGCACATAGTTCATTTCACCGTCATCGTTGATGACTACGAGGTCACCATCTTGGGTCTCCTCACACAGTTTTCTTGCATCCTCCCACGGTAGTGGATCATCATCAACAAATTTGTAACAGTTGTCATCGTAACCAGGCTCATATCCTATTGGACCTGTCAAATTTAGAAAAAATAGAAATGAAATCAGTTATGCATGATTGTGTTATGAATTCAAGGTTATACAATACAATATATGTATATTGCTGTATTATGTGATACAGCAGTAGACCAATCATGTCCCTTCACTTTGAAGGAATCAAAGTGACTTGTACAATAATGGATTAAGCGAGATCATTTTTTAAAGAATTGCTGTTATGTAAATGAATTGCTTAATATGAGATGACTTACATTGGACAGAGTATGTGATATCAAAGCCAGTGTCTGATATCGTCCAATCAGATTTCAATCGAAACCAAGCTTGGTGTGAATTCATTACATACTGGGTACCAGTTTCTATTGTGCCTGTGAATACCTAGATTGAAAATCAAAATATAACATTAGAAGAGAGTGAAAGGAAGTGACAAAATTTGCTTTTGCTGCCCACCATATTTGTTATATTAGAAGAGCATTTCTAATAGTATTGCACATGAGATCAAAATTGCAGATATATATAAACTAACTCTAATAGTGCAAATAGGAAACATCCAGGAATTGCTTTCCAAATTAGTTTGCCTTGGAGCTCTTTGATATTTCCTGTATTATTTCTACGTAGTTAGGCAATTTTATGAATGTTGGCCTTGTAACTAGGTGCCGTCTCTCAACTCCCAAGCTCAAGACCT